TTTGACCGATTTTCTCGGCAAAGCTCATGCTGCTCGCACTTTCGTTGCAATGAACTGCATCGGGTGACAGGTGGACGATGACCAGTGTCTTGCTATCGCCATCTGTAATTGTATTTTTGAGTTTACCATCCTTGGGAGCCCTTGCAGGTGGCTCGCCCACCACGTGCGCGGTCCGGGGATCAAATCCTGACGGCACTTACGCCCGCAGGTATGTGACAAAGTAACCGTATTGTGCCGCGACGAACGACACCACGCACGCGAAAGAGAGTTGTCCATCCCACCCGAAAGAATTTGAAGGGTAAGGGGATGGAAAAGGTTGATACGACTTGGCATGAAAGCTTGCCTCTGTGGGTATTGCTGTTATATGGGCATTGCTGCTCCAATGGATGCACCGCGCGCGACTGCGCAGCAAGTTGCGATTGTCTTGACCGTTTATCCCCCTCCCCGAAAACCAAGCCTTCTACCCTCATGGGACTGTAAAATGATACAAGTGTCGTCTAGAGTAATAGGGAGGGGTAATCTACGGCTAGGACCATTTTTTTCTCATGAGCTCCAAGGTCACGTCTTCAAGAGTACGGAAGACAAGTGCGAGCCAAATAAGCTATAGATTGAACTCAATCTATTCTTACGGGCGGCACCTGAAGCCGCGGCATGTCATCGTTGTGTGAAACATAGGGCGAGGAGGCGTAATCACTCTCGAAAATTTTTCCGGTTGATAATTTTTCCCGTTTCGCGTGCTCTATATCAACTTCCCTATCTCACTCAGGGCACATCGTGTTCAGGTTGGTGGGATTGCCCTATGGGGGGGGCTAGTCACTGTTGTGCCGCCAGAAAGGGGGGGTGGCCGGTCTCGTATTTGGGCTGGTGGAAAATTTATTTTTATAGTTGATTTTTCTCGCTTTGCGGACGTTTTGGAGGGGGGGGGGCGTATTTCTGGCTAGGAGTTACGTGGTTCACTTCATGGGTTTTTATGAATTTTTGCTGTTGTTATTAGCGTACTATGTGCTCCGGCGTACGATGTTTACGTCGCCATGCCCCCCGCTCGACAACGTCTTTTCGCCGGAGGTAGTTAAACCACAACCACAGTTCAGCCATGTGCAGCCATTCGATACGAGCATGGGGGGTGGGTCGTCAAAGGTCGAGACCAAAAATCCATCGAATGCTCATGGTGCCCCGGGTCTCACTGCATTTCAGTCTGGCTTTGCACCAACATCATGTTCCGCTAAAAGTTTTTGCTAACAGACGCATGGCACATCGTCGTTGGAAGATCTCTCACAGGTCGGGCCGGTATTTAGGAGGGGGCCGTGACGTTGCCCGTCGTTTGCAAGGGTGGTCCTCTGTCCTCTGACAGGATATTTGCGGCCGAAAAATCATTTTCTTCGTTTGACTTTTCGCAGTGTTTTCCCGTTATTCGGTTGTTTAATATAGCTCCGTTTCCCCCTGCTCGATGAGTATGAGCAGGAGGAGACTAGGGGGTTCGGCTCCCTATACAGCATCCCTTGGGGGAAGTGGTACGAACTCGACCAGAATCCCCAACTATGATGAGCCCTGTAAATACGGCCTCTCTTCTGGTGGGATACGTTCTACGTTGGAAATCCCAAATAGGGAAGGGAATTTGGTCAATGGAGCGTAGGGGGTCGTATGAAGCTCGGAAAAAGTTCCACGATAGTTGGTTTTTCCCTTTTTACGCGCACCATTTAATCCTCCCTGCAGAACTGCTATTTCTGATAGTTGGCTAGAGATGCTGCCCCAGAGACTTACCTCCCATTTCCCCAGAACACAGCGCATTGTTGGGAAAGTTGAGCTAGACAACTAATGTTGAAAGGGGGTCGTACCAAAGAAGAAAATTCGTGCGAGGTTCCTATTTAGCCCCCCCCCCTCTCACGCTAAGACTTGCCCTCCTCCGCGGACCGCTCGGTAGCGAATTTCTGAGGAAATTTAATAAGTTCGCGTGTAGGTTACCGAAGGGGATGTACTGAGAGGAAATCTTGGAGATGGGGTCTTATTCAGTGGAAATGTCTCACAACGCAAGGATATGTCCCTCGGAGCTCGTGCACTCACTTAGACTATCCTCAAGAATCCTCGTGAGTTGGCAGTTTCGGAATGGAATGTGTTTCTGATTTTGTCGAAGTGCCAACACGACATTACCCAACTCGGACAGGGATCTGAAAATCATCAAAATCACTTATTTTTCCTCCCAGAACCATCACCCTATAGATCAAACTCGCTAAGCTTACTTGTTAATGGCCTGTGCTTCTTTGAGCAACTGACCAGTGGCGTTCGTCTGCGAAACTCTTTCAGATCCAGCCAAATCAACCAAGTTTAATCGGCCTGAAAGGGAGGGTAAGCTATACCTGAGGTCCGACAGGCAGATGGTAACAACGTACCG